ATATCGCAAAGTGTATTTGCACTAGTCTTACGGCCACTTGAACTCGACCCCGTACTGTCAGGTTATCCGGTCTTCGGGGGTCCATTGATCGATGTATTTCGGAATCTGTGACGAAGCCACATATGTACAGAATTCGTTGGAATGAAATTCCTTCATTAGTGTTGGTTGGACGTAATACTATTTTGGGTTCCAGTAAGGGAAATTTAATATGAAATATTGTTTTGTCTTTCTCGGTTTGTGTCTGCAAATCAGAGTCAGCTGTTTGATCTGTAAACCGCGATCATCCATCTTACTGTTTCCCATTTACCTGTTCGCCTACAGCTCGTTTGACTGGGTGGATACTTAAGAAGGGGACATACAGAACTGTGAGGATTGATTTCATGGAGCGTGTGTGTGTGCGTGCGTGTGTATGGTTGTGTGTACTACCTCAATAACTTTGCGTTAACGGAGAGAGAGAGGGGGAGACAAACAGATTAAATCACGCAGAATGGGATTGGACGGTCATTAAAGAAAGGTTCCGTGTTTCGTACACATTGCGTCTGAGCTTATACGTGGATGATGAAAGTGGATTGTAATCTCCTCGGCCAAATTGAATAGCCAAGCACGTGAGAAAAATTGACTTCTTTATTTACACAACTCTACACACTTCCCACAACTGTGCTGGAATCCACGCTCCTCATTGAAAAATCACCCACTCTTATCGTGGTAGCCATGACAACCATGTTCAACTTACAAATAAAGGCACATAAACAAACCTTGAATAAACTTTGCCGTGTGAGCGGTCATTAGCACTGACATCTATCGGAGTTTTTTGGGTCCAATTCGGTAAACTCTAAGCTCACTTGTTCCGAATCACTTGATTCGAATATTGGCTTCACCGCTGAGATCGTTATCACTTGTTTTCGTGAACGTTTCAGTGACCATTATGGATTGTTTGCTTTTATTGCCCCGATTTACTACTAATCACTGAGCGGTGTTCCCTTATGTAGACAAAGTCACTATTCTATTTGTCTTTATCCATTTTGTATTGTTTGGCTGTGTAGCTTCACCCAGTCTAATCAGTCGGCCATTTTAGAGCTCCGTCCGTGACTATATTCTGCGTACCAAACGCTCAGATTTCAATGCCCGATGTGACCCTGCGAATTAGCATTAATGACTTTTGTTATCAGTCTCTTACACACACACACACACACACACACACACACAGNGTGATTCAAGGCAATGTGCCTTATTAGCTTTTGTAGTACATATATCTTTCCGCTCATTGATTGGTAGGTTTTTCAATCCCTGTCCAGCGTAAGTGGTGGTAAACTTCGTAAGGTGGCATATTTCGACTAAATTTGTTTTCTCAAATCTTCTTCCGGCCTAACACAACACATCACACGCATTCGAATGAATGAGATTTGACCCTAAAGTAGTAGTAGTAGTAGTGTTATGAGGTACTATTCACATTTGTGAGTAGTAGGTAGCATAGTTGGTGATTCCTCTCGTCAATCAAAAATTAAGAAAACCACCGAGGGCAAATTGCTGCGTCTCAAAGAATAACTACCGATTGCTACATTTGTAACCCGTTGTGCGGCCAGGAACTGCGATGGTATGTTTCTGATTTCTTTATTATATATGCCAAATTAGTGATGTTCCATCTGTAATCTTCAATAAACAACTATCCTCGACCGAGCACAGGAGGCAGGGGCGCGAGTGTGAGATTTATTCGACCACATTTTATCAAATCGAGTAGTGGTAAGAGTAGTAAAACACAGAAACATGAACCATCTGGACAACTTTTCGGTGAAAACAATTTGTTTGTCTTTTCTCTCACAGTGTCAAATGTATATCTTGTTCACAAAAGAAAAACAGATAAAAATCCCAGATTCGATTTAAACACATTTCTTGAAATCGTTTGATGATGAAATGAGGGCGCGAGTCGGGGCTAGAGGTAGGGCTGTCAGTGATGGAATCTGGCTCGGAGGATTGTTCGACTTGATGCGAAATATGATGATATACTTGTATTGTGATCGATGCGGAATACGAAAATGATCGCGTATCACTGTTAATAAGGGAATATTTAAATACGATATGGGGAAAATGCAATTCTATGTATCTTGTAGTATTAAGATTCTGAAGAAAAAACACGGGTTTTATTCCACGAAGCACTTGCGGGGAAAGTGAGCGATGTCTGTCTGTCTGTCTGTCTGTCTGTCTGTCTGTCTGTCTGTCTGTCTGTCTGTGTGTATGTGTGTATGATACCCGAAATACTCTCTCTCTCCTTCCCTCCAAGACAGGCTTATACCACAGTGTAACATGCGTCCTCCGTGGATCGAGATCGTTGCAACGCGAGCACACATCATGTGATCCACCAAATCTCGGCAGCCGCAGCCACGTTCCACAGTTGAAATGCCAATATCAAGTGACCAGATGCGTGAGTGGACATGCGTCCGTGGTCTGTGTTACATGTGTCACGTGTACACGGACCCGGGCCCGGGCCGATGGAATCCACATGTCGACTGTGATCCGGCCTTGGTGGACTGATTGTCAGATATGTGGCTCGTTTGTTTACTGAACCAGAACAAGAATGCCAGATGAATGAAAGACAAATTACATGGTCATTCCAATCAGATTGCGAAACGTGGTCGGATGCATATGAACATGATTGATAATACCAGAAATAACATTCGTACATGATCACTGCTCTTCAACATATAATGGGCATTTTGATCATTATTGATCAATGTAGCTGTCACAATAAGTCAGAGAATACATTCGCTCTGTGTCGTCAGCATCAATCTGTTCTGTGTCAGGACGGACAAGGTCGCCGAGCTTACTGCTGGAAAGTTGTAAAATAAGATTCATAAGCTTGTATTCTATGAATGGTTAGCATCGAAATACGTTGAGAGGGGGGGGGACGAAAAACTGAGAACAATTTATCATTAGTCTAACCAAATCTGAAAATATTATTACCTGGGCAACACTAATGGTTCCTGAATAAGTACAGATGATGCGTTATCCTGAGTTCGAATCACACAAACTCCTCCTATTTTCTTCTCCCGGACAGCTTTTGTATGACTCTGGCTGCATTCCTGAAAATTGATTGCTCATTTGTATGCTCAATGAATACAATTTGGAAACGACTCAATTATTATCAATATTATTATTTTTTATTCAGTCTCAGACTGTAGCTCGGCATGTTCTGAACTAACCAATGAGAGAAAAGGCTTTACCGACCAATCAGAAATAAGAAAGCATATGCAATGAATACCCTTACTTTTCTCATTTAAATTGCGTGAAATCATTTCGGAGTTCGATATGATTCGACCGTTGTTTTCGGGAACCGGACTGTTGGCATACTTATCTGTAAAAAAACAACCAAAACACTGTGTTAGCGTTATTCACACATTCCTCAATCAGCTTCATTCCGATATTATAGAAGGCTCATCGAGGCTGACCAAATTTATTCACTCTTTATAGAATTCGACGTTTCGAAAACAGAACAGAACGTGCGAAAAATGTGAGGACAAGTGATTCGTCATCACTCATCCCTCGACTGGCCTCATTCTAACCCCCCCGTTCCCCAGACGTTTGGAATAAGCTAAGAGATAAATTTGAACTAGGAACTTATTTGATATTGTTCAAATGATTGTTTGGCGTATTTGAAATTTGTATGTCGATTGTGAAAAGTTCAGTAGCCTCGGTGGGATTTGAACCCACGCATGGATGCCGCCCCCACGCTTTGTACGTGCATGCTCTCTACCATCTGAGCTATGAGGCCACATCGATGGCACTGATGTCGGTTCTCACATTGTTGTTCTCAATTCTCACCGAAATACTTTTGTGCATATCTTAGTTTGAGAATAAATTTCAAACACTAATATGGTATAAGTTATTGGGTGTAGTTGCGCGGTTCAAAGCCTACTCTGCACGGAGACATTCCTGGGTTCGGTCAGTTCTTCTTCTTCGACGTCGTGGTTGTCGCCCTTCTCTTCTGAAATGAGTGAATCTGCATGATTATTGGTTTGATAGTCCGGGCGAACCACACACACACACACACACACACACACACACACACACACACACCGTTTTAAAAGTATTTGACGATAGACCAGTGAATGCAACTTTGTCAAGTGTTGTCCGGATTTGTGAGACCAGCGACTGGTTGCACAAAAATCATAATACCGTAATTTTTCCAGCCCAAGTCCGTAATTGCTTCCTCCTGTAGGAAGACTTACGTTTTCCAAAGATGGTTATGACGATCAATGAGAACCATTTCGTACGAACACACATACACAGATTGACATTTGGTGAGGCGACCGGGACGGGAATACGATATTTTATCCCTTGGTGTCAAGTTTATCGGTAGAGGGTCAGGTGTGTGTGGGTGTGGTGGGGTTGTGCTTTTCTCATTGATCGTTTCACCAGGAGCTGTTTGTCGTGGGCTGAAATTGGCGGTAATTATGCCAGCTGAACTAAGCTGTCCTGTATAAAACTAAACGCTACCCGGGGTATTTGCAGGAACCACTACCGTCACCACCACCCGTATAAGAGGATGTATGTGGTGTAGGAAGGAGCTGATATTTGGAGCGTTGAAATTTGACCGTGTCCATTTTGAGCATACCTCCGCACCCTGTGCGAGTCACCGGAACAGATCCGTGAGGGTGGAATTCGATCCCGGTTTTAGCGTGACCTGTACTCCAATCCCACCCCTCTCGATTCATACATTTCTTCGGACTGAGTGAAGTGGTCTGCACAGACTTATGGTTACGAGATTGCAAAAAACAAATCGATGAATCAGTTTGATGTTCCGATGTGTACTCACATCTGCTCGGGGTTGGCATTCTGCGTGAGCCAGTAAACGGACACATTGCAACTTTCCAGTCACACGGTAAGTTTCTCTGTGACCTCTCTTGCTGGTGCACATTACGTTTCCGAGAATCTGTAGACCAGGACAACCCACCGCCCACTCACTGTGCACTCGACTTCAGCGCTGGGACAAGGTGTGACAAACCGCATAGATATTGATGATAGACATATACTATCAAGCCGAACGATAACGGAGCTGCCTACCATCATAGTGGGGTGTCGGTGGCAGGGTTTGAACATCGGACCATAGGGACGAGAATAGTTTGATCAAATCCCTGCTGATAAACTGATCAGCAGACTGTTACGCAGACTATGAGCTCACACATGTGATCCTTCACGGAATAGGAGAATGAATTACATAACTGTGGATGCCCGAAAAGAGTTTGAAACTTTGGTCTATCGCTTCGGTTCAAGCTCCTCCTGCTATCTATACCGACTAGTGTGCTTTAGACAGTCAGGCTTCTTGCAGTTTTACCAGTGACAAATCACGTATCCTGTTTATGAGCACATAACTGCTGAATGCGTTTTCTGATGTTCAACAAGCGAAGGTATAAGAGCTTTCTTCATTGGCCGATATTTTTAGGAAATAGATTCAAGCCAAGGGACTTATGAAGCTGACACTAGCTAGATACCATATTCACGATGATATATATATCTGTATATGCATAAATATATACATGACCACACTTTAATTGAACACTCATCGATAATTCGCATAGCATCACGGAATTGCTTATTTGTGAGAAAACATTCGATTACTACATATGATTCAATTATGAATAATTGATTGAACAGATAGTTTGACCTGGAATAACCTTTTTCAGCGGCTGGCGACGAAGATTGTTTCAACTTTTTTTAGGCATGAATGTGATTGAAAAGGCCAATACGAATTTTGCTCAGAGTGGATGAGCGATGGAGACAGTCAACCACTTTTACAGGCATGCCTGGAGGTTTGAACTCGGCCCCTGACACACAATTCTAGCCAATTTGTTATCACCTGTCGCGTTAACATGCCTATTAGGGCTTCATGTTGCGCGGGGCTTAGGTGGTCAGGCGCGACAAGAGAACAATAGGAGGGCCTTTTGAACACTGGATCCATATAAGAATGTTTGGATTAGCCACAACGAGAGAAAACCAAAAAAACAATTTTTGGTTAACGACGTTTCGACCCTCTTGGAAGGTCTTTTTCAAATCAATGAACAAGCGAACATTAAAAAAAACTGCGAAGGAAACCGTATCAATCGGAGGTGCTTTTGATTGGTCTGGGAGGAGGGAAAATTGAGTTGGTGTGTGTATGTGGTAATGAAGGAGAGTATGGAAGTTGTTTCAATGAGAAGTCAAAGAGCTAAGGATGACGTCACAGGAAATGGGAGATTGGTCCATGAGCAGTTTTTGCAGTGTGACGAGACTTGATGTACAGGGTGACTGCTTCATCGTAGTCGAGCGTCTCGTCCCTCTCACCCTTAAGCAAGTAAATTCCCC